AGACAACTGTTCATATAACAACCACTGAATCAACAACGGAAGAAAAGACAACACCCTATGACACCTCTGTGGAACAAACAACGGCGCAGAGCACAACGGTTGATATAACAACTGAAGGATTAACAACGAAAGACAAAACATCTACTGTCGATGCAACAACTGAAGAATCCACAACTAAAATAGAAACAACTGTAGATTCTACAACGGATTCATTAAAAACTGAGGAAAAGACAACGGTTGATGCTACTACTAAACAATCAACAACCGAGGAGAAGACAACTGTTCATATAACAACCGCTGAATCAAAAACGAAAGAGAAGACAACACCCTATGACACCACTGTGGAACAAACGACGACGCAGAGCACAACGGTTGATATAACAACTGAAGGATTAGCAACGAAAGACAAAACATCTACTGTCGATGCAACAACTGAAGAATCCACAACTAAAATAGAAACAACTGTTGATTCTACAACGGATTCATTAACAACGGAGGAAAAGACAACGATTCATGCTACTACTAAACAATCAACAACCGAAGAGAAGACAACTGTTCATATAACAACCGCTGAATCAACAACGGAAGAAAAGACAACGCCCTATGACACCACTGTGCAACAAACAACGACGCAGAGCACAACGGTTGATATAACAACTGAAGGATTAACAACGAAAGACACAACATCTACATTCGATGCAACAACTGAAGAATCCACAACTAAAATAGAAACAACTGTAAATTCTACAACGGATTCATTAACAACGGAGGAAAAGACAACGGTTGATGCTACTACTAAACAATCAACAACCGAAGAGAAGACAACTGTTCATATAACAACCGTTGAATCAACAACAGAAGAAAAGACAACACCCTATGACACCACTGTGGAACAAGCAACGACGCAGAGCACATTAACAACGGAGGAAAAGACAACGATTGATGCTACTACTGTAGATTCTACAACGGATTCATTAAAAACTGAGGAAAAGACAACGGTTGATGCTACTACTAAACAATCAACAACCGAAGAGAAGACAACTGTTCATATAACAACCGCTGAATCAAAAACGAAAGAGAAGACAACACCCTATGACACCACTGTGGAACAAACGACGACGCAGAGCACAACGGTTGATATAACAACTGAAGGATTAACAACGAAAGACAAAACATCTACTGTCGATGCAACAACTGAAGAATCCACAACTAAAATAGAAACAACTGTAGATTCTACAACGGATTCATTAACAACGGAGGAAAAGACAACGATTGATGCTACTACTAAACAATCAACAACCGAAGAGAAGACAACTGTTCATATAACAACCGCTGAATCAACAACGGAAGAAAAGACAACACCCTATGACACCACTGTGCAACAAACAACGACGCAGAGCACAACGGTTGATATAACAACTGAAGGATTAACAACGAAAGACACAACATCTACATTCGATGCAACAACTGAAGAATCCACAACTAAAATAGAAACAACTTTAGATTCTACAACGGATTCATTAACAACGGAGGAAAAGACAACGGTTGATGCTACTACTAAACAATCAACAACCGAAGAGAAGACAACTGTTCATATAACAACCGTTGAATCAACAACAGAAGAAAAGACAACACCCTATGACACCACTGTGGAACAAGCAACGACGCAGAGCACAACGGTTGATATAACAACTGAAGGATTAACAACGAAAGACAAAACATCTACTATCGATGCAACAACTGAAGAATCCACAACTAAAATAGAAACAACTGTAGATTCTACAACG